TGTATACATAAGACTAACATTTTCCAGTTTTTCAGCGTATCGGAATTTTGAAATTTCGCTTGAATACCTGTAATTTTTTCAATGGTAGAGTGGGTTATTGGACCATATGATAAATTTAACCTGGATTTTTTTAAAGTGATAGTAAAACTAAATAGTGAAAGTGAATACTGAATTAGTGAAAGTGAAACTGATACAATAGTAGTAGAATTAAATAGAAAAACCAACTACAAACCGACATGAATGACCATAGCAAAAACGCCGTGACCAAAGCACACTAATGACATCTGGCTCCGGGTTCGCGGAAAATATTTAGCTAAGCCATGGACCAGCATGCAAAAGTTATGAATTGGTTCATGTCTGATCTATTCTGGACAAATTATTTTTATCTAGATCAAACAATCCTATGGTTTAGACAGTTCGGATCACTGCACATTTAAATCGACCGTTTACGATTTTCGGGCATAAGTAAGAATTAAGTGTCATGTCGGTTTGTCGGTGGAAAAACAACGTAATAAGACATACAATTATTGTACTAAATCGCTCAAAAACAATCAATTTAGACATGGACATAGTTGAAGATGCTGAGTGTCAAATAACAGACTTAAAGTGGTGGGTGAAAAGTAACCTCCTTGACCGCCAGAATGCGCTGCTACTACAAAAAAGATTATGGTGCCTTGTATTCCGTTCATATTTAGGCAGACATGCCAAATTTCAGTGCGATACTGCCTTTATTTTTGTTTTGACAGCTGATTGTTGTTGACGTTTTTGGCATCGTGTTAAAAACGATTTTCGTTCTCTCATAAAACATTACTTTTTTGAGAGGCAAAACGGCGAAGGAAACAACAGAAAAATTGGATAAATATTATGGGGCTAATGCTCCGTCAGATTACACCGTCAAATACTGGTTTCGAGAGTTTCGTGGTGGCCGCAGCTCCACTACCGATCAAGTCCGCAGCGGCAGGCCCTCCGATGCGGTTACAGAGGACAATGTCAAAAAAATACATGAAATGGTGTTTTCTGACCGGAAAGTGAAGGTGTGCGAGCTAGCAGATACCGCAAGATTAGTACTGAGCGCACACGCCATATTTTGGTCGAGTTTCTGCTTATGAAAAAGTTATCCTGCCGCTGGCTGCCGCGCAAGCTCACTCCTGACCAAAAACACGAACGCAAGAGCACTTCGAAAGAGTGTTTGGACTTGCTGATGCGGAATCGGGCGGACTTTTGGCGTCGATTGGTAACTGTTGATTAATCCTGGATCCCTTATTACACCCCAGAGAACATAATGAGTGCCCGGCAATGGACCGAAGCCGGCACGAGTGCTCCGAAGCGGTTGAGGGAGGCTCGATGGGTCGGAAAGGTTATGGTGTCGGTTTTCTGGGATTGTCATAGCATAATCGTCGTGGACTACCTTGAAAAAGGAAAAACCATCAACAGTGTTACTGTCCATTATTGGAGCGATTGAAGGCCGAAATCACTGCAAAACGGCCTCACGGGCAGCGAAAAAAAAGTTTTTGCAAGACAATGCGCCGGCGCACAAGAGCATCGCAACCACGGCTAAAATCAATGACTTACGGCTCCAATTGCTTCCGCATCCACCGTATTCACCCGATTTGGCTCCTTCAGACTATTATCACCGACAAACCGACATGAATGACCATACAAAGTAAAGGGTGATACGGTCAAAATTTGGTCAATATCAACTTGACGTATTTCTTTCAATTTTGCATTTAAAAAACCTGAACACCCCTCATTTTGAAGGTGTGTGTGTGTAGAATGTTGCTCCTATTTTGATTTTGGAATTCACTCTTCAGTTGTCAAAATGCCGTCCAAGCAAGAAGAGCAGCGTATCCAAATTTTGCTCGCGCATCGCGAAAATCCGAGCTACTCGCACGCAAAGTTGGCAAAATCGCTAAAAGTTGCCAAATCAACCGTTACAAATGTAATTAAAGTGTTTGGGGAACGTTTGTCGACAGCCAGGAAGTCTGGATCGGGGGGAAATCGAAAACCGGAAGCCGCTGAGACGACAAAGAGAGTTGCCGGTAGTTTCAAGCGAAACCCTAACCTCTCTCTCCGAGATGCCGCAAATAAGCTGGGTGTATTGTCTACAACCGTGCATCGAGCCAAAAAACGAGCCGGACTATCGACTTACAAGAAGGTAGTGACTCCAAATCGCGATGATAAACAAAATACGACGGCCAAAGCGCGATCCCGGAGGCTGTACACGACGATGCTGACGAAGTTTGACTGCGTGGTAATGGACGACGAAACCTACGTCAAAGCCGACTACAAGCAGCTTCCGGGACAGGAGTTTTATACGGCAAAAGGAAGGGGAAAGGTAGCAGATGTTTTCAAGCACATGAAACTGTCAAAGTTCGCAAAGAAATATCTGGTTTGGCAAGCCATCTGTACCTGTGGCTTGAAAAGCAGCATTTTCATAGCTTCCGGGACTGTCAACCAAGAAATTTACGTGAAAGAGTGTTTGAATAAACGTCTGCTGCCTTTCCTGAAGAAACACGGTTGTTCCGTACTGTTTTGGCCGGATTTGGCATCTTGCCATTACGGTAAAAAGGCCATGGAGTGGTACGCCGCCAACAACGTGCAGGTGGTTCCCAAGGACAAGAACCCTCCCAACACGCCAGAGCTCTGCCCAATTGAGAAATACTGGGCTATTGTCAAGCGGAACCTAAAGAAGACCAAAAAAACTGCTAAGGGCGAGCAGCAGTTCAAGGCAAACTGGCTTTCTGCGGCGAAGAAGGTGGACAAGGTGGCTGTACAAAATCTGATGGCAGGGGTCAAGCGTAAGGCCCGGCAATTCGGATTTGGAAAAGCGGAAGCCTAACTGAATATTTTTCCTGAATTTTATACTAATTAAACTTGAAAAAGAAATTTAATTTGATTTTTTAAATAAACGATTTCACCGATTTCACCGATTTACACGCGTTTTCCCTTGACCAAATTTTGACCGTATCACCCTTTACCATCAAATTTCTGATCAAAGCGCAAAACTTACATCTGCCGCCGTGTTCGCGAAAAATGGGTATCCTAGCCACGAACACGCAGGCAAAATGTGTGAGTTGGTTCGTGTCTAATCTATTCCGGGCTAATTATTTTTGTCTAGATAGAAAATTTCTATGGTTTTGACAGATGGGGTCGCTGCACAATTGAATATGCCGTTATGGATTCTCGATCAAGAGTTAAATTTAAGTTTCATGTCGGTTTGTCGGTGCTATTATCTCTTACCAAACCTCAAAAGATGGCTCATCAATAGAAAATTCAGCACACGTGAGAAAATCATCGACGCCGCGGAGGAGTATTTCGCAGACCTTTCGGACGATCATGAAGTTGGAAAATCGCTGGAATAAGTGTATCGAGCTAAAAGGGGACTATATTGAATAAAATAAAATAAAAACACTTAAAATTAATTATACGATATATTAGGAGATGAAAATATAGAGTAGGTAGTTCCGTTAGAGTACGGCAGTGTGAAAATTGTACATGGCAGTCTTCTCGAAAACATTTACCATGTGAGCTTGTGTAAAAAATCAAAGCGAATGTTCAGCTTGAGCTTACGCGCAATTTTGTACCCAGTTACATTTCATACAATACACTCGGGTGTATTGATGTACCCAAGTGTATTCGCAGCACACGGGTACATTGCACATGGGTTTGTGCACGGAGCAAAATTATAAAATTTTAAAATCTTGATAGAGCTGGAATTAGGGTGTAACAGCCTTTTCTAGTTGACTTCAAGGAATTCAAGGCACGCCTGCACAAACCACCGTGTCCATCGGGTAGGGGAAGTCTTCCTCTATTCCATAATGATTTCGATTTGCCAGCAAGAGCCATGACTTTCGAGAAATAATCGAGAGAAGTCACTGTTTACAAAAACTGTTACACCCTTATTTCAGCTCTATCTAGAAATAACAAAAAAAAAACGTTTCCAACCGGGACTCGAACCACCGACGAACCGACGTGACAGCTCATAGAAGCTACTTTCAAAATCTTGCCCAAGACGCTATATTTAAAATACGTTAAGCACTACCGACATCTACTCATCCGATCGCGACATATCACGAGCAAGGACACGAACACACGTAAAATTTATATTGACTTGGTTTGTGTCTTAACTCGTTTGACAGATCTGATCGCCTGTAGGACAGATCAAATCGCTCATTTGACAAATCGAATTGTGGACAAACGAAATATGCATGTCGGTTCGTCGGTGCTCGAACAATGAATCTTGTGATTATCAGGCCTGCGTCCCGTCTATTTCATGCGAGGATAATATGTAGGTTAAAGGCATATAATAAGCGCTCATAGGGCAACTCTTCCATTTTCTCAAACGACCGGTATGAGACAGGCACAATCGCGCCATCTGTCGCTCAAAGGTAAATGCTCCGAACGAATTGGATAGCAAAGGTTCCATCCTCAGAAGAAAGGTTTGTGTATTTGCTCATTTTTCTATGCGTTGCTTCCACCTTCGCTCGAGCGCAGCGCTACTGTGTCTGTCGCTTGGATTCAGGCAAAGTTGCCAGTCTTCTTGATATGTTGTCTTCGCCTTTATGCAAGCCTGAGGCTTGGTATTTATTTTAGGATCCTCACTGAAATCATTAAGAAAAATTGGCAAGCTTTTGCTTTGAAAAATTTTGGAAACCCTCCGACATTGCTGATTTGATTAGATCTCAGACTTAATTTTTGGTATCTTCTACTAAACGAAAGTTATGAATATCGAGTTTCAAGATATATTCAATATATCGGACTTTTATTAATAGAATTTGATTAATAAAAGGCATAAACGATCATATTTTAAGGTTCAAATCAAATTTCCGATTATTCCCCGGTATTATATAGGATCGAAAAAGTATCATTACGCTCAGAAAAATGAGCTCTTTCTGCACTTAACCGACTTAACTTAACAGGCAACCGTTTAGTCCTGGTTATTGAATTATTGAATGAGTCTTAATATTTTATTAAATACCAGCAAAAAGAATTATACTTACGAATAAGTGAGATCTTCTGATGTCGTCGGTATCCATGTCGAGAATTTCGTCGATATCGACATCTATCGCTTCCGTCTATGCAAGAGAGAGAGAGAGAGAATGAAAAAAGAAAAAAACCATAACAATAAATTAGAACCAGTCCTACTATATGGACCCCATCATCGCATCGCATCGCAACTTACCGGTGGATCGAACAGCTTCTGCAGTTCATCGTACAGCCACATCTCCACGGCGAGCCGCTTCCGGATGAGACTCATCTGGTGTGAGCCGTACTTTGCGGTGAGGAATTTCTCCCGACGTTCCTTCACTTCGCCCTTTTCGGTAAAATTGACCCTCAGCCCGGTACGACCCGGTGATCGTTCACAGTCATTCATGGTTTCAACGCCGCACTGCATCGCGTCACTTCACCCCACCGTCGTTAGCCCCTGGTGCGTGTGCAAGGTCCGGTTTTACAGCTATTTGAGGACTGTGGTGAGTCCTCCTTCACACTTAGTTCACCGCAGCGGTGGCCTACTGGGATCTCGGCAGCCAAGATTCAATCAAAGAGGCAATCTGGAAGAAGACACCATAGGGAAAAGAGACGATTTTTATTTGGAAAATTAAATTAATAATCATGATGTGGCGGTGAAGTTTTAAATTGGTCAAACGCTTCGTTTACGACGGAAATTTCGAAGAAGTTTGCGCCCGTGTCAGAAAATAAATCCCCTCACCGCGCTGCAGAAGCGGCAACGCCCTCATCGTGGGGACACTTAACTAATCACGAGCTAATGTGATTAAGACTAATTTAGACAATTTATGGTACTGGGAAGTGAGGTTTTAATTTTATTGTTGACTTGGAATGCACGCTTCGGTTGACATTTGATCTTGGAAGAACGGAACTTTGGTTATTTTTAATTTTAGAATTTCTAATTGAAGATATCAGAAGCAAACCGGGAAAGTTAAATTTTCCACAGCCAGCTTTAATCAACAGCTTCCCCATTGTATTGCGCAAAGAATAGCATCAAAGCAACCCTTGTGCTGCTGTCTCCATTAGGAAATTCGTTCCAGTTTTCACCCTTCTTAGTGACCCAATTTTTGCAACACCGGCCTCGATTCGTAGTCCTATTCCTATAGCTTGATGTCGTTATAGGCTGGCAATTGCCGGTGCAATATAAAATATGCACGAAAAAAAAAAATGACAGTTTGCAGCAACTGAATGCACCTCACCATTCAATTAGTGTGGTGCGGCGCTGCTGACACTTTGTTTTTGTTTTGATTGCTGTTTCTAATGAGTGTTGGCGGGTAATCGTGGAATATGTGTACATACGAACTGCCCTTCCTAATGGGTGCAATATGTGTATACCAACAGTAAAACACGAAGAGTGTTTTGCTCAGCTTTGCCATCGCGATTATGAATGGCAAAGAAAAGTAATAAAAACTGCACCGCTCATAACACGTGTTCACGACATCAATTTATTCGAGTGCTGATATAGTAAACGCATTATTCGAGTGTGACTGTGAGCACACATTCACAGCAAACGTTGAATTCTCGCATGCATTCAGTGTAAAATATCACTGAGCTGATTCGACGCGCCTGCTGTCTGTGTGTGACAATGCATATTTGTGAAAATTTGGGTTACTATGCGAACGAACGATTCGCTTTTATTCGTGTGTTTACCGTCAATCAAGCGCCTCCACTGTGTCAAACAGCAGTCATGGGAACGCCCGGTGATTGAAGTGTTGATCCTTTTAACATTCCTGTTGATCATATTTCGCATCATTTCAACCGGTGTTATGTGAACCCACCTTTGAAATTTTCGTCTGCATACGCAATACAATTTGTTCTTACATCCAATGTAAGGTTCGATTTATTACATAGGGAAGAGCGCTACTTCGTCGTAATCGCCCATTTCCGTTCTATCGAGCAGAAATCATCAATAATATCAATGATTTCACCATGCACAAAACAATAATACGTTTGTTCCGATGCGTTAGTTCATTAGCTACGACATAAATCCTATTAGAGCGCATTGTATGCATATTTACGCTCATTGTTCTCAAAACAAAAGCAGCGCTCCTAGCGCATCTCCTTTTTATCCGTTTATCCGTAGGACGAAGGAAATCTAATGGCGTTTCAATGCGTTTGAACGGAATTGAAACGCGTAGGACGAATTTAGAAGCAAGAAGCAGTGTTAGATTTTTAATAATATCTCAACATTGTTTGACTCTTTATCAAATTCAACGGTACGTATGGAAAGGTGGATAAATTTAGAAGTTATCTTTGATGAAAACATTCCATGTTTTGTTCAAACGCTTTCCAAAAAGCGTGGTAAAGTGCGGGATGTCCTTAGTAGGACGGAAATTAGATCAAAAACCCTACTCTGCCTCAGTGTCATACGACAAATGTAATGACAGTTCTTGAAATGAACTACAGCGTACAAACAAGTTTTTCCAGAATGCATATTTTTGTATAAAACCATCATGAGATGATTTTCTAGACGCAATGCATTTGGGGGAAACAAATTTTGTTCAAAAAATTAGTTAAGAATTACAAAATATTTTTAAAAACCTTCCGGTGACCACATTACAGAACCTGGACATGTCGCGAAACAAAGCAAATTCTGCATACTTTTCATGCCAATCTGTAATAGAATTTTACATTTCCCGGATGGGTGTTTCAAAAATAAACAAAACTCAAATTCGCGTGATAAGCGCAGACTTAAAATTAATAGCTGCACGACGGCTAGTTGAACGAACGGGACGATCTAATATATATTTTTCAGAATAAACACAATGGCGGTCGTTGCCCACATTTGAAATGTTGTTTGCTCTTATAGTCAGCAAAATCTGCTTATTGCCATTAACGTTTGAGTTTAAAGCAGATAAATCCGTTTCGGTCTACTTTGGAGCGGTCACTTGTCGCTTTAACATACGTCACACGATGAGTTGCAGCCGTAACTGAGCTCTATGTGATAAAACATCTGCTCGCGCAAACGGTATGCAAACATACGTAATTTGCAAGATGACAGCTTGGCTTCGCTGTCGCTCGGGCGGGGATCGTTGGCAGACGTGCTGAATTATTGTGCACATCTTTCGCTTGCCCGATCTACGTCTAGCTTTATTGTTGATTTGTTGAGATTAGTGATGTTTAACGCACGCACATTAGCGAGTGCATCGCACGGAACCGAAAAATTACCCAAAATTAAGTTCTTTTCACTCATCTCCCATGTTCCGTTCAATAAGCTAATTTTCAGTAAACCGCTTATAGTAGTTTACATTTGACTACGGCAAAAATAATTACTTACTCGTGAGTATTTTCTACCCAAAATTAGAATATCTCATATACAAATTTTTGGGTAGAAACCACCCAGGTCGGTCAAAACTGAACCTACCTAAAAATGGGTAAACTACTTATGTTGGGAGTGACATGTTGACAAATGGACAACATCAACATTAATCCGATCGACTTTGTTCATTTGTCAACTTATCACTTCCAACATAGTTTACCCATTTTTGGGTAGGTTCAGTTTTGACCGATCTGGGTGGATTCTGCCCAAATTTGGGTAGTTTTGAAATAGCGTGCAGACTTATCTGACGTTTGTGAATGCACGAGTGCATGAGTGCAGAACTTTGGGTAAATTCAAAGGTTTTGTTGCACTAATACACTCAGGTCTTTTTTTTACACGGGGGATACGTACCGTGTAAAAAAAAACCGTGTAAAAAAAAACCTACGAGATTTTGATTTTTCGCATGCTTAAATGTTTCAAAAAAATCGGATTTTGATGCCATTTGTAATTAAAGCATGATATGGTCCATATACCTAGACATATTTTAAAAATTTCTGTATTTACACCAAAAATTGTGATTTTTTTTAAGTATGCCATTCGATTACCTATAGCTTGAAACGGATAATGTGATTAGAATCAAGTCGATAGGTTGTATCGTTGTCGAGAAATCGTTAAAAACGTACCGTGTAAATCGTGGAAAACCGTGTAAAAAAAACCGTCTAAAAAAAAACCGCGTAAAAAAAACCGTGTAAAAAAAGACTTCAGTGTACTTATAATTTACCCAAAGTTATGCACTAATACTTGTGCAATTCACAAACGTCAGAGAAGTCTATTCTCAACATTTGCGATAAGTATTTCCACGTAACATTTTAAAAGGGCCTATTAGTTTCTGAAAAAAAAAAATTGTAAGGCACCTTTCGCGCGAACCGAAACTCGCTCACGCAAAACAAGCACATTATCGGGGAGAGGAGAATTTCCCCTACCACGCGAAAAGGTCCTTACAAATTTTGTTTTCAAAAGCTGATCCCAATTAACAATTTTAGCCGCAGATTAGCTTTTACAACCAAACCACAGACAAACAGGCGTAGCTCTTTGAATTAGTTTTTCTTGAAAACATTGTACCTAAAAAAACAGGACCTCAGTAACGCCATCGCTCGAGTTTCTCGTGGAAAACAAGCTAGCTCGCTAAGTCGCAAGCAATGTTACATGCAAGGTAAACCAAGGGGGGGGGAGGTGGCTATCAAATACGAACAATCGTCGACTACCTCGCATAACTTGTTCCAAACGTAAACAAGCCATAAGATACCTACAGGGTTTGTTTACGTTTGGAACCAATTTCATATAAGAATGATCAGTAGGTTGATTTGACAGCACGTCCCCCCCACCAGAGGTAAACGGAATATATAGAAACGCCAGCGCTTTGGTGAGCAGCGCGGAAATGATAATACTCAAATCAGTCGTTAAATGTGCATGATTCAAAATGAAGTGTTACGGCTGTTTGTCTGTGGCCAAACATTTGGCTTATACAGCTAATTTTTGCATGTATAAGCTTCTTCTTCTTCTTCTTCTTCTTCGCATTTCAAGCTTATTGCATATCGCATATTAGCTTATTGCGTGCTCTCAACTTAGTGTTCTAGATGCACTTCCACAGTTATTAATTGAGAGCTTTCGATGCCTGTACCATTTTTGCAATGATATGATTATGTGGCAAGTCCAATCATACCAGGGAAGTCGAGAAATTTTCCAACCCGAAAAATTCCTAGACTGAACCGGGAATCGAACCCAGCCACCTCCAGCATGGTCTTGCTTTGTAGCTGCGCCTTTACCGACTGAGCTAAGGGAGGCCCCATGTATAAGCTAGACTGCAGCTAAAATTGTGGGATATACATTTTTTTTTATCTAGTTCGTTTATTTGGAAGGCTCAATTGGTTAGCTTTACGGATGTACAATTTCGAACAGCGTCCGAAACTGTGACGCATGCAATTAATTTGTTTAGCTGTTGTTTGAGCTGCCCTGTAATCCAGTCTGTAATTGATTTTACAAGTCCAATGCCAAATTTGAAATTTTCGCTCTTCGGTGCTCAAACGGTTCCAAACTGGATCTTGATTAGCCTCTCAAAAGTTGAACTATTTAATTAAGAAACTGACTTGGCACAAACGTTATGATGTTTATATGAAAATTACTATGGGAAAACCCGAGGGAGAAGACGGCTTTCATTTGAGTACCTCTTTTACTCAGAGTTGCTCAGAGTTACTCTGGTTTGCTCTGGGATCTGATCTAATTTGT